CTTGAGTCCGTCCCGGAGCGTGTTCGAGTCCTCGTCGGCCGTCTTGAGGGCAGCTTGGGCGTCTTCGGGGTCTCTTGGGACCGTCTAGGGCCCTCTCGGGACCTCCATTAGCCTGTCGTGGCCTGCTTCTGGGCGGGCCCGGGCCCCCTCGGGACCCCTCTGGGCCTTCTCTTGGCGCGCTCTTGGGGCACACTTGGGCTGTCTGGGGAGCATCCTGGGTCGTCCGGGGGCCCTCGTCGGGGCCTCGTGGGCCTTCTTGGAGCGATGTGAAAATCCTCCGAGGCCGTGCGGGAGCGCTGGAAAGCGGGAAAAGCGAGAACGCCAAAATCCGAAACACTCGGGAAACGAGTGAATCTTGCGTTCTTTCTTTCTTTCGAGAGGGACAAAGCTCCACGAAGCTACCCTGGGACCCAAGTGCCCAAGAAGACCCAAGTGCACAAGAATCTTGCCTTCCAGGGCCCTTTTGGGGAGCCTATTGAATCCGTCCTGGAGCGTGTTGGAGTCCTCGTCGTCTGTCTTGAGGGCATATTGGGCGTCTTCGGGGCCTCGTTGGACCGTCTTGGGTCCTCTCGGGACCCCCTTAGCCTGTCGTGGCCTCCTTCGGGGCGGGCTCGGGCCGCCTCGGGAGCTCTGGACCCGCCCCCGCAACCCCTGGTGGGCACCGATGGGGAGAACAGGCAGCGGCCCGCCCCCCCCCCCCGGGCCTACTCCGAGATAGAGAATCATGTTCCCGGGAAGCTTTCTGGGAGCATGATTTGTTCGGCTCTCTAAGAGGGGGGCCTCTGGGGGCTTACCGAGGAGCGCCTTTTGGCCTTGTCGGCAATCCTATTGGAAACATGGTTTGGGCGGGGGGCGGAAGCCTAAGGAATCATGCTCCCGGAAATCTCTGGGAAATACGATTCACCGAAGTGTCTTGGAGTCCCGCAGGGGGCTTCCCTTGGGGTCCCTTGGGGGCCTATTGGGGTTTCCGGGGGGCCTCTTGGGAGCCTCACGGAGCTTCTAGGGAGCCTCTTGATGGCCTCTGGGGGCGTCCTAAGAGCCTCTCATGCCGGAGACCTCGAAATGTCGCGCTCTTCGGGCCCTCTTGGGTCGCTCTTGGGGCTCTCTCGGGGCGCTCTCGAGGCCCTCTTGACTTGTCTGGGGAGCCTGCTGGGCCGTATCTGGGCTTTCTTGGGAGCCTCTTCGGCCGTCTTGGAGCGATCAGAGGGGCCTCTGACGCGGTCCGGGACCATGGGGACGCGGAACATGGGAGAGCGCAAGAATGCTTCAAAAACCATTGGAAAATGAATGATGTTCGGCTTCTGGGGCCCTTTTGGGGGGGCCTCTGGAGGCGCTCCTGGGGCGTTTTGGCGGCGTGGTCTGCCGACCTGAGGCCATCTTCGGCGTGTCCGGGGTCTCTGGGGGCTGTCTTTAGGCGTCGAACCCAGGAATCATGTTCCCGGAGAGGCTTCCGGGAACATGATTCCGAAATGGACACTCTTGGGCCTCCCTGAGGCCGTCTTGGGGGCCTCCTGGGCTGGCTTTGGGGCCTCTTGGGCCGTCTCGGGGGGGTCCGTGAGCCCCACAGGACGACCCTGTGGGGCCGTCTTGGGCCCTCTTGGGTCTCTCTTGGGCTGTGTTGGGGCTCCGCGGGGGCGTCTGGGGCACTGCGAAGACGAAGCAAGGGAGTATGCTGAGCATGTACGTTTTACTACGGGGACGGGCTGATTTGTGCCTCTTGAAGGCCCTCTTGGGGCCCTCTTCGGCCATCTTGAAGCCATCTCGGGCCCTCTTGGGCCTCGCTGAGGCTGTCCTGGGGCCCTCTAGGGGTCGAAGGGGCCCGGGGAGCCCGGAAGTAATGCTCCCGGAGAGGCTTCCGGGAACATGATTTCGAACGGGGCCCTCTTGGGCCTCCCTGAGGCCGTCTTGGGGGCTTCCTGGGCCGGCTTCGGGGCCTCTTGGGCCGTCTTGGGGGGTTCCGTGAGCCCCACAGGACGACCCTTTTGGGCCGTCTGGGGCCCTCTTGGGTCTCTCTTGGGCTGTGTTGGGGCTCCGCGGGGGCGTCTGGGGCACTGTGAAGACGAAGCCAGCGAGTATGCTGAAAATGTAAATTTTACAAGGAAATGGGCCGATTTGTGCCTCTTGAAGGCCCTCTTGGGGCCATCTTCGGTCATCTTCAAGCCATCTCGGGCCCTCCTGGGCCTCGCTGAGGCTGTCCTGGGGCTCAGTGAGGGGTCCTGGGGCTCAGTGGGGGGCCCTAGGAGCCCGGAAGTAATGTTCCCGGAGAGGCTTCAAGGAACATGATTTCGAACGGGGGATGGGTGAGGCAATCTCCGGTGGCCGCTCTGGTGTCTGTAGGCTCCTGCGTATGTTCTGTTCGTCGGCCACTCGGGTCCCTGCTGGTTTCTGTGGCTAGCGCAAACTCTCGGGTAGCGTGTCGGGTTCCCGTTGGCCGGGCACTCCTCGGCAGCCGCTCAGGCTCGAGCTCCTGAGGGCCTCCGTGGGTGGGCCACTCCCGAGTGGCCGCCGGGGGACCAGTAGGCCCTTCTAGGTTATGCACGATCAGGCGGCCGCTTGGCCTCCTGTGGGGTCGCATGCGTGGCTCGATCTCCAGTGGCCGCGTCGGTTCTTGCTGGTTCGCATGTGAGTGTCGCAAGCCCCAATGGCCGTGGACTCCTTCACGTATTCGGGCTCTTCGGAGGAATGGATTCCGAGACCTCCTGTTCCCATACCACCTTGCCACTAATAATACGGATACTGATACTACGGGTGGTTGCATCCGATCGCTACTCTTCTCGACAGGCAAGGACTCGCTATACTTGGGGGGGGTCCGATTCCAACTGCTCGCCCCAACTCCGTCCTCCTCCCTCCTCTGTCCTAGAACAATTATGGAATCACCATCCAAGAACAATGGATCACGATTCAATTAACCTTCGAGGTGTTCACGCAAACGGAACATTCGATCACGACCCACTTTGGTTTGGTTTTGGTTTTGTCGGAGAAGAACATCGGAGGATATTGTCCGAAATGAGAGCCCGAGAGAAGAGTCGGAGAGGAGAGTCGGAGAGGAGAATCGGCAAGCATCGTGTCCTCATCGCGCGCCCGCGCCTGAGTCCAACATCCCTGCGAAATAAATGAGAAAGCAGCCTGTTCCTTGCTTAAAGAGATGGGGGCTGGCGAGCACTGGAATGGAAACTCTAGCATGAACTTTCGAAGCAGAGTGTTCGAGCTTGTTTGCGGCTTGCTCGCAAAAGATCGCCTCTCGATCTGACTCCATTTGCTGCTCGAAACCCCAGAGGTGGGACGCGCAAGGACATACTAGTACTACATATCCTCCTCGGAGGCGCGCGTCCGACCCGAACATATAGTACAACCATCTAGTAGTATATCGTTTCCCGAGCGGTGTGGCTAGAAAGCGCCAGCCACGACGCATATACTATGAGATTTCTCGGTTGGCACGTCGCCCCTGGCGGGGCGACGCAAACATCGTATTAGTAGATTGGGAGGACGCCGGCAGAGGGAGCTCTTTGAGAAAAGAAAGAAAAACACCCCCTTCAGACATCTAGCACGGCGGGCACCCCTGTGGCAAGCCAACAAGAAGCGGCGGATGACGGAAACCGCACATAGCATCGCGATCCGTTAGCCGGGAGAAATAACAAGGGGGGCGGTGGGGGGTAGGCAGCCCTACGCCCAAATGACAGAAAACGAGCGTAGCGTCGCGATCCGTTAGTAGGGAGAAATAACAAGGGGGTCTGTGGGCGGCTAGACAGCCCCTGGCCCAGAAGGAGAAATAACAAGAGAGGGGGTGGGAATAATTAGGCAGCCCGGGTCCCAAATGACGGAACGCGCGCGTAGGGTCGCGATCCGTTACAGTCATCGGCCTGACCTAAGGAACGATAAATAAGGAACGAAGCCCCTGTTTTCCAAGGAAAAGAAGCATAAGGAACGATACATAATATAAAAACGCATAAGGAACGATACGTGACGCATGCAAGCCTTAAGGAACGACCGAGCCCCTTTTGAAAAGTAAGTGTTCCTTACTCAAGCCGCTCACTGCAGTTGGGAGAAATAGCAAGAGGGGGGGAGGGCAAACCGGAGATCAGGTGACGGAAAGCGCGCGTAGCGTCGCGATCCGTCAGCCGGAAGAAATAACAAGGGGGGTGTTGGGGGTAGGCAGCCAGAGGCCCAGATCCCGGGAAGGGCGAGTTGCGTCGCGATCCCGTACTCGGGAGAAATAACAGGGGGGGGGGGGTGGCAGCCCAGAGCGCGGTGACAAAAAAAGCTCCTAACAGCAAGGCAACCAAAATCAAGCGGCAAAGGCCTCTTGGATGGTCTTGGGAGCCCCTTGGGACCCCTTTCGCCCGTCTGGGCGGTTTCTGGCCTCAGGGGGACTCGCGCGAGGAGCCCCAAGACTCACGAGAGACGCCCCAGGGCTTCTTGTCCCCGCAAGTGCTGTTTGGGTATCCTGGACCTTGGCTACTGTCGTGCTTCGCTGGTCCCTGGCAGACGCATGTGGCCTCTTGGACGCCTGCCACATTCGCCGCCTCTCCTCCTTGCCGCCACCCTCTTTTTCCACCTCATCCTCCCCTCGGACTGTGCTCTCGGACTCTCGCCTCGGACTCTCTTCTCCGACTCCCCTCTCGGCCTCTCTTCTGCGACTCCGACCGCCGACTCTCCTCCTGGACTCCCCACTCCGACCGGACGCCCCACTCCGACTCTCCTCTCGGACTCTCCTCTCGGACTCGCCTCTCCGACCCTCTCCGATTTTCTCCCCGGACGCTCCACTCCGACACTCCTCTGGGACTCTCCTCTGCGACTCTCCCCTACGACTCTTTCCTCGGACTCTCTGGACCTGGGCCCAATACCCGGGCCGGCCCAAGACGCGGCCCGCCCGCAACGATCGGACCGCCCGCGCGGCCCCAGACGCGGCCCGCCCGCTCCCTCCTCCTCCCTGACCTCTCGACACGCCTCCCACCTTCTCCCTTCTCGCGTTGCCCCTCCCTCCCCCTCCTCCAGGCCACCTGGCGATTCGCCTGCGCTGCTGGCAGCTGCCGAACAAACTCCTCGTAGGGTGGGGGGTGGGGGAGCTGTCCTCGCCGTCGCCGTCTTCGACGTCGCGGCCGCCGTCGTCGCGACGGCCGCGGTTACGGTCAAGACCGTCGCAGCTGTCGCGGCCGCCACCGCCGTCGGCGTGCTCCCCCTCCCTCGTCCACTGAAGGGGAGAGGGGGAGAAAAGACAAGGAGGGGGAGAGAAGACAACGAGGGGGAGGGGGACGGGAAGGGGAGACGGAGAACGCGGGACGGGAGGCGCGCGTTTCTTTGTCATCGGTGATGGCGGGCGTCATGGTGGGGGGGGAAATGGGCGGAAGGGGGGGTATGACGTAACGCCCCCCCTCCCCCCCGCCGCGCGGCTCCGACACCACAGCCGCGCCCGCACGACGACGATGAGCGACGAGCGACGAGCGACGAGCGACGAGCGACGACGACGACGCGAGCAGCATGTAGGTGGCGATCTGCCCCACAACGCATGTGTACACCACAATGTTCGCGTGCACCACACCGCTTGTTTACACCACAACGCATGCGTACACCGCAACAGCCGTATGCAACGCAGCGCCTGTGTACACCGCTTGCGTGCATCACAGTGCCGGTGTACACCACAGCGAATGTGTACACCGCAGCAGCCATGTGCAACACAGCGCCTGTCTACACCACAATGCGCACGTGCACCGCAGCGCCTGTGCACACCACAGTGCCCGTCTACACCACAGCATCCGCGTGCAACGCACCGCTGGTGCACACCAGAGCGCTTGCGTGCACAGGACAGGTAGAAGTAGCATGTCGGTGAGGATCTGCTGCGGAAAGCTAAACGCCACGCCAGGGAAATGCTGAGAATATAATGCGACGGTTTTCCCTCCTCCCTCCTCCACCTCTGCCTCCTCCTCATCCTCCCCGTCCTCCTCCTCCTCGTCCTCCTCCTCCTCCCCCTCCTCCTCCACCTCGTCCTCCTCCTCCTCCTCCCTCTCCTCCTCCTCCTCCTCCTCCTCCTCCTCCTCCTCCTCCTCCCTCGCCGTTCCCCCCTGTCGTGCGGGTCGGCACTACAGCGCACGTGCGTGCCTCAGCGTGCACTCAAGATTGGTTTATTCACCGGTGCCGTGCTGAAGGCACGCAGGTATTGTGGTGCACACTGGTGTGTTGCACACGGCTGATGTGGTGTACGCAGGCGCTGTGGTGTACGCAAGCGCTTTGGTGACAGCAGGCACGCGGCTGCTGTGGTGTAAATAGGCGGTGTGGTGTACACAGACGCTGTGGTGCACGCAGGCACGATGGTGTACACAGGCGTTGTGATGCAGATCGCCACCGACATGCTGCTGCTACACGTCCTCGAAGATCCCTGGTCATTCCCAGACGCCGCCGGCGCGAAACGTGACGTCATCGGCCTCCCCCACCCCCCCAAAATGATTGCCGCCATTGTCCCGACAAAAAAAAACAAGCTCCAACTGCGTCCGCGCGCACGACGACGATGAGCGACGAGCGACGAGAGACGAGCGACAACGACGACGACGACGAAGGCAACGACGACGACGACGACGACGACGACGACGACGACGACGACGACGACGACGACGACGACGACTGCGGACCAGACTCCGATGCGGCGGATTCCTATGCGGACACCTATGCGGATCACGATGCGCACGGCGGCAGTGCCCGGAACGCACTGGGGGGGGAGCGTTACGTCATAAGGGGGGGGCCGGGGGCCATGACGCCCGTCATGCCCCAAGCAATAAACAAACGGGCTCGAGGGGGAGACTGAGAACGCGGGAGGGGAGGGGGAGAGAAGACGAGGAGGGCAGAGCGAACAGGAGGAGGGGATAATCAGAACAGGACATCGAGGAAGAGTGACAAGACGGAGAGCAGAGGCAGTGGACGACTTGACTCAGACGGGGAGGCGAGGGAGGGACGCGAAGGATGAGGGAGCAGGGCGGGCGGGGGCGGAGGGGATGGGGGGCGGAGAGGGGCGGGAGGAGGTCGAGCGACGACGAAGAACACGCGGATAGGACCATGGGAAGAAGCGTGAGGAGGCCCTCCTGCTCCTTCTTCTCTTTCTCCTCCTCCTCCTCCTCCTCCTCCTCCTCCTCCTCCTCCTCCTCCCAAGCCGCGGAGGCCCAAGTGAACGGTTTCGGGCTTGTAGGGCAGAACCGTCGCACCCCTGGTTGCTGCCACAGATCGCTTGCCCACGCCATGGTCGCGAGAGTCCTCTGCTGGTGGGGGTGCATGTCCAAGCTTTCGCTTCGAGTTCTCGGCTGCAGCCCCGTGTGGTCGGCTGGAGACCGACGGAGTGAAGTCCTGGGAGAGACAAGCGATTACGGTTTGATCATGGCGGCGGGGACGAAGTCGGGCACCCCCCCCCGCGGTGCCCAAGCATTGCGGCGGCGGGCTGGCGGGAGGCTGCTTGACGAGGCTCCGTATGCAGAGGCTCCGAATTCTAACAACAGCTGTGGGACCCTAACGGCCTTCGGACCTCACTTCCCGGAAACCTAAGTCAAGCAGGTTCGGGGCAATCCCGAAATGGCACCTGTCGGGGATCTTCTGACCCGGGTCAACCCGAACCCAGGCCAGTCAAGCCTTGCAAAATCCTGCAAGATCCTGCACTCAAACCCGGGTCAGCGCGAAAGACCCTGTAAATCCTGCAGAATCCTGCACCCAAACCCGGGTCAATGCGACCCTGTCCCTGCAGGATCCTGCAAGATGCTGCGCTCTGGCTGACCCCCGTTTGCATTGACCCCCGTCCTTTGAGCCCCGAACCTGGCCGGGCCCTGGCCGTCGGGGTAAAACATGGTCCTGCTGCTCTGTGCGCCAACTGCCTCTATTACCCCCCTCTCCCCTCCAAGTCTCGGAATAGGAAGCGCGCGAGGCACTGTCGTGCGGTGCGTGCCCGCAGATAATACGCGCGTGTGAACGGTGGCTTGGGGGAGGAAGATGCACAACGGCTCGTTCCAGGAGGTCGAGAGCAGCGCTGTCGGGGCCTCCACTCTAGGAACACTTCCTAGGGGAGTTCGTGAACGTTCTCAGAGCCTGTTGGAGCGACACCATGTGGTTGCTGCAAATATTTCGTCCAAGGTGGAGATGACTTTTTTCGGCAACATATTTTCGGCAACACGCGACAGCCTCAAGATTATCTGGGAAGCAGGGATAAGACGTGAACAATATACCGCTCATAATAGTCACTCTGGGTCCGCCTCTCCAAACAGCTCCAGCATAATTGATTATGCTGATCTTCCTCAAGGACTGTTAGATCAGGCGATTCACTGCCATCCCCTCAGAAGGTTTGGGGCCGAAGTCCAGCCGATCAGAGGTACACTCCCACGTGATCTCCTTGTCTCGCTCTGCCTTCGTTTCAATAAAGGAGGTCTTCTGCGAGCTCCCGACAGTCGACGACGATTGAACCAAGATTTGATGATGGAGAGTCTGAGCAGTGGGAAGGGGAGGTGTGATTGTATTAAGGACCTGAACGTATCGTTAACACAGGATGATGTCAAATATCTTCGGGACCACGCTTCTCCAGATACTATGTTTGAGCTCTTGGGGGCATCTCTGGTGAATATAGAAGGGCAACACTTTGTAAAAGACAACTCGATTAGACCTGTTCGCGCGAGGGATTGTCAGCGTCGCCGTGATTGATTCCATCGTCAGGTTGAGCTTCGCGGGCAGAAGCTGGGAGCTACGGGGGAGGAGATTGAGGAGGTGGAGGTGGAATTGAAGAACCTCTCATTGGAGCTCCAACGTGAAAAGCGCAGTCGTCTGTGTCCGCAGAAGGCTCGTCTTGTCGAAGAAGAAACTTCAACATGCTGACAAAGGCGTAGAACCGCGGAGGCGATGATAGCCTCCAGGCGGGCAGCCCGTTGCAGATTCGGGCGGAAGAGGGGAGATGCTCGTCTGGCGTGCAATTCCCTTCCGACCTCGTCTGAATGACTGGACGTATTGTGACGTCCAAGTGCCGAGGGAAGGATGCAGGTGGAGGCGCGTGCATGGGATCACGGGAGACCCGACCGAGAAGGCCCTAGCTTCGGCTACGACCCAAACGACCATGAATCGGTCGAGGCCGCCTCCGAGGACCTAAAGGACCTCCGTAGGTATAGGATATCCGCCACGAAGCGTAAGATTGCCCGAGAGAGTACTGCACCACTGGAATTGTGGTGCAGGGCAAGTCTGGCCTCGTTCACCACCACCTAACAACAAAACGTGATGGTTCCTCTTGGGTGTGGGGTTGCAGACACTGCGACGGCAACAACTTACCCTTCTCGATCGGCACAACAGTCAAGCGGCACCACTTCATAGATCTCATAAGGTCGGCCCTCCTCGGAAACGTGTCGTGCATGTGTTACCACGTTTGGGGAACATATATCCCCCACGGTCCAAGACCACGGCGTTGCCGGGAAGGAGGAGTGAGGAGGCGGTGATGATGTCGATGGACACTATATAGAGCATGAGGGCGATGCCTCGTACGCGTTGTGCATGGTTTGAGGATATATCGAATGCCTTCGCCAGCACTGCTCTTGATGAAATGGATAAGTTGTTTGCCCTCCGCTGCCGCGAACACAACATGGAGAAATGTAAATGCCTGTCCCATAATTATGTTGTAGTGCACTCGTCCAGCACAATGGAATTAGTGGTGAGGCCGAGGCAAGGGGGCACGATGGGAGATTACTGTATTGTTGCTTTGTTCTTGGACACCTTCACGCGCCCTATGCTGTATTGGGGTAGGGATTCGCTGGACCAAGACCCGTGCGCAAAGGAGCTCGTCTCGTGCCGGGGGGGACGGCAGGGCAGACCTTTGACTGCTGAAGTACGCCGACGAGGTTCACGTGCTTATCTTGGCGAATTCAGGTTCTAGTTTTGGAGCACTGTTTCCAGAGGTTAAACATGCCCAGTGAGTTCTGAACACGCACCTTCAGGAAGATAGTTACGATCAGAACACGCAAACAAACAGGAATTTCTGTGTTTGTCTCATGCTTGGGGGGGGGCATACTAGCAAGAACCATATACGTGATAAGCCTCA